TTTTTTAAAAATAATTAAAAATTATTATATATATCTAAAAATAATATACGAACAAAAAAAATTTCAAACCAAAATACAGAACACACCCTACAACAATAGTCGAATTGTTTGCTACCTTTTCATAACAGAAAAATGGGTATTAACTTATATAGTAAAAAATTAGATAAAATATAATTTAAATTTATTTTATTTTAATAAAAATTTATTAAAGAGATTAAAGTATTTTAATTATTTTTTAAATAAAAATAAAAATATTTTAATTTTCTTTTATAACATTTTATTAAAATAACTTAATTTTAAAATATTTTTTATCTAATTAAAATATTTTTTCTGTTTAATTTTTTCCACACCAGAAAGAATAAACATTAATCTCTTTTCATGAACCCCAGCGCTCCGACTACACGCAGTCACACTAACGGCAGATATGCTTCCACCCCAGTTCTAATGGATCCCAAAGGCACCATCGTCTTTTCCACCATCAGCAGGCCAAACTATGGCTTCGATGTCTTCTTCGTCCAACTAAACCACATCACTGCCGCCATTGAGGACCGCCTCACTGATGGCTACTCTGTCAACTTCAACGCCCAATTCGTTGATGAAGACCAATCCGTTGTCTTTGTCTCTGAAAGATCAAGATCGCCTCGAATCTATCTCACTCGCCTGGCCTACCCAATCTTGAGTAGCTAGCATCCGTGCCCCACAGCCTCTTTCACGACCATCCTATCTTGAAGAACAACCACCTCTACTTTGTTTCAGCTCAAGAGTAACCCGATCGCCAATTCCAGAGTTGGGCAGCTCTTCACTCAACTGAAATCGATGATAAGGATAAGAAAATTACGCGGTTGACCCTTTACGGAGCAGTCGATTATAGCCCTACAGTTTCCAAGTCTAGGAAATTTCTTGTCGTCGCATCTTATGGGTCTCGCTCGTGGGGCGGTGAATTTCACGAGCTCAACATGGATATAGTTGTTTTCCTATAATCTGACTTGAGGATGATGACGATGATTCGAGTGATGGCGAGGATGATGAATCAAATGCTGAGAGCGATTTGTCCAATGATTCGTTGGCTGAGGTTGATTCGGAAGATGAAAGCCTCATCCTCGTTGGTGAGAGCGAAGAGTGCAAATGAAATTCATTTCAAAATTGAAATTCATGAGTTTGAGAGTGAAATTGAAATACACGGACTTTACTCTTTAGAATTACCTTGGTGAAATGCATGTATTTCA